ATGCGTAGGTCCGATTTTTTTCAAGATGCATTCACAAAATGTGTTCATATAAGGAAGTTTCTGGATATATAAGGTCCGGAGCTCCACTGTGGACACAAAAACAACATATCTTTGGACAGTGATTTGCCCAAAAAAATTAACGCTTGCCCACAATGTGTTTGAAGTCACTGAACTTTGTCGCACTCGAGCGGATATTTTAAAACCCTCGCTCGATCAGACACTCGTAGTTTCGCAGATCACTAAAATATAAACAAAATCCTCAATGTAGAAATTATTGCGTTGATATGTGAGTAGAAAGAAGGTCAATCTTTATGTAGTAAAATCTTCCCAAAAATCGGTTTAAAAGCAACTATAGTTTTTTAAACTTGCTCATTTCGCGCAGATATATAAATTTTGCTTTGTGTTGTCAAGTTGAACACGCATAACATCTGTCAAAAACCTACAAGTAAGGATTTCCTTCAAACAAAGTTAAAGTTACATTATTTCAGAAACTTGTTGCTGACAATAAAGAAATGATTTTTCTGTGCGAAAACAACCTACCTAAAGATGTTAAAAGCAAAAGAAAGTAACCGAGAAAGTTAAAAAAGCCCACAAGTTTGTCTATCTGATGCGTTAAAACAGCAATATGGTTCTTTGACGGAAGACAAAGATAAAGCTGGTTCTGCAAAGGTAATAAATCTGGGCATGTAAAAAAAGTAACCGTAACTACTAATAACAGAATACAAGCGGGTTTTAATTCGAAAATCAACGAAAATTCGAAATCAACTCATAAATTAATCGGATGCACAATCAGAAAAATACTCGCCTCCTAGAAATGTTCAAAACCTTTTATTCCACCTCAGACTGACGGAATGATCCGTTTTTCCTTTAACATTGATTGTTCTGAATCCAAGGTAATTTTCAAGCGACGAAAAAAAAGCAAACATGTCAAATAAAAATGCTTTACAGGGAGCAAACGTTCGCACCTCGTGCATTTCACTCAGAACTTCAGCAACAAACAAACACAGTCAACCAGTCAATCAACACACAGAAAAGCCCGCCTTGAGCCTGCGATAAGGGATGCGCAGAAGCTTGCGCAGAACGTTTTTCCGCCCTGAAGGTCCCCAGTCCCCACGGGTTTTTTCTTTCACACTGTGAAAATCAAAATGGCCGCTATTGGATCCTTCAGTTCTTGGTTTTATCTTCCTTCGTGTGATTTGATCAAAGCGACAAGGTCTTGTTACTAAAGGTAAGAACGTTTTCAATACATTATATGGATATATTCAGTTGTGAAAGTCAAATGATAGCTGCTAGCTACTCGGATGAGAACACACACAGATGATCCCGAGTCCTACCATGTGGGGCCATCAGATCCTGATAACAACGGACCTGAACTTGGTTTCCCAGATACAAATATCTATCTGCTGTTTTTAATTTTTTTTTCGTTTCCAAGCTTATTACGTTGTTTTGTATCTGAAGGCTTCAATAAGCTTTAAACTTATCTTTTCATGATTTACTATTCCATCTAAATGACCTTTGCTTTCCTAACACGGACGTCGAGCGTTGTCACATATTATCTTTGCCTTTGAATACAGCCGTCTCTCCTTGCTCTTCACGGATAGCAGTCTACTTGTATCTAAGCAATTTGGAAGGAAATAGTTGAATTCAATAAGAGTCTTGTTTACTTTGTTGTTCAATTCAATGTCCACATTAGTTATCTGCTGTGATTTCTTAATATTAAGGGCTTTCTTATTCACGTACACAATTGTGAAAGCATTTGACCAACTAGTTGGATTTTACTAAAAGTATTATTCCTCTCGCTCTCATGGCCTTCGACCTCATGGGCTAATGACTCAGAGCCCATTCAGGCTCGAGGAATAATTGTTTATTATTATTTGGACCAAATGAATAAGTGATAGGTTGTATTAATAAACCAAACAGTGACACTTCATGTTAACTGATCCAGCAATTTTTTCACCATTGAGTCGTGCTTCCCTTAAGCATAAAAATCCCCAAAGATGCAAAATAATTCATGGTATGCATTCCATAGGACACAAAGATTGGTCAAGTGATATGAAGATGTTTTTCTAGAATATCCTGTTTGTGTAATTTCTGTGGTTGTTGTTAACGATGCATATTAAATTTCTTTTAGTCTTTGTTGTACTTTAAAATAAAAGGAGTATATTTTTATTTCAGTAAACTGTAATACGGAGGTTTGGAGTCTGTCTTCAGATTAACTCCCTGGTTACATAGTTAGCCTGTTCAATTTGACACCGATTTGAAGTGAGTAACTTGTGAAAATCATGGAATGAATATTTACAACTGGAGCAACTAGTGCATGTTCAGATGTTTGGGTCAAATACAATGACTTGGATGAACCTTTGGAGTTTTCCAACCTCGCCAAATAGAACTTCTTGTGAAGTAAAAGTTTCCTTGAAAGTGTTCAACATTTTTTTAAAGGAATAAATTTCTACAAACCTGTGTTTAAAATTAGTTGAGAACACGTTCGCGAGATGATTCGAGAGGTCATTCAATACTTTGTTCCAGGTCTCTGTTGAATCAGAAAGACATGGAAAGACTGGTAACTAATGCAAAAATTAAACGAATTTATAATTATATTATACTACATTGATTTATTAGATTCTGTTATGGCGACCTGCATTAAATTTTAAGAACATCAACTGTTTGCAAACACAATCAAAACCATAAAATTCTTCTTGCTCTGAATCTCTTTGAAAGACAAACCATATCTTATCACTTTCATCGATGCTATAACAGTCCCGTTCACCAGAAGTCGTGTCATACTCTGAGTCAGGCCCACTTGACCATTCTGCAAGGACATTATCCTCCTCACGTTCATCATCCCCTGAGCCATGAATTTCTTCGCCGTCGTTTTCCGTTCCACCTTCCTTTGCTTCCTTGTCAGTAGACTCATTTATATCTTCCCATTGACTATCCTCCCCACGAAGCACATGCAACGAGATTCACCTTATCTTTTCAGCTTTGTGCCATTGCTTATGAGTTTGTAATGTTTAAGATACTTATTGAGCTCAGACACAAGCAACTTTTGTAAATCTCCAGACTCCACGAGATGGTGCCAGGCATATTCTTTAAATGTTTTGGACGTCAATTTACGCTTTTGTTCTGTGCGCCCCCTTGTTCTCTTAAAAATACTGCTTTGTTGTTTGAGATCTTCTAGATGAGCAATATACATGTATGTCTTGATCAAGTGTGGCTCCATGGCAAAATTCTCCTAAAACTGCTGCATCTCTTCTTTCGTTGATAACATGCCTGCACTAAACATTTTCTTTATGTTTACACATCGTTGAAAATTATGTGGCACTCGAGGTTGCCCTTTTCTGTGGTAGTTGGTGTCTCATTGACTGATTTAAAATGGGTGGGATTTTCAGGATCTGGCACAGGCTGGGGAATACGTTTATGCCTTTCGAGAGTCTTTTTGTCCTGTGACACTCACTGAAGTTTTTATTTTTATACCCCAGGTACATTTCGCCCCATTCTTGGGCTTTTCACCCTTTTTGCTTTACACCAATTTTTCCATCATATATTTTACCATGCGGAATACTGTTTTCTTACCCCGCATGATGCTGTTGATCAGCGAAAGGAAACCATTTCTTTAGTCTGCTTCTTCTTCTTCTTCTTCTTCTTTTTTTTTGCCTTTTGTAATGCATTTCACTAAATTAAATAACCATCCCTCTCAAATAATAGTTACCCTCTGTTAAACGTGCTTAAAGAATAAGCCCCCAGGGAGCTTTATAGGGGATTAACAGTAATACAGGTTCCCCTATTTTCTGTATTAAAGCTGCATGTTGAGCCTTAATTACCTTTTATAAATGCGTGTTATTGTACAAACCATGGGGAAGTCTCTGATCCAAATACAAAGTCAACAAATGATTAAATTAACCCGGTTAATGGATTTTCCATGTTGAATAGGTCATGTAAAGTTGTACATGTTAGGTATGTAGTCAGGTTATGAAAGGTTTAGAACCAGCCTCGTACCCAGGCCAGTTCACGCTATCCGAGTTACCAGAGGAGGCTTGGAACCGAATTTTCCCGACAAGCTTGAAAGATGACGTCACATCCGAAATTGCGGAGCACAACTGGGAACGAGGCTGGAACATCTTTTTCACAGGCAGGTATTTTAAAAGTTTCCTAATTTTCCACATCTTCCTAACAACATTCAGATGTCGCAGCCCCTGGCTACAAAGTTGGGGCACCAAAACAAAATATCATTGTGCATTTACCTGAGAATGTTTCTTTTTCCTGCCAAAGGGTGCCGTAACAATCACACGTTATAAGAAGAACAAACTCAATGCCCTTTAAGTGCCTGCAGTGCAGCAAGTGCTTTAGTCTCGCAGGAGACCTAAGGAGCCATGAAAGAGTTCACAGTGGGAAAAAGCCTTACGAATGTAAAGAGTGTGGCAAGTGTTTTAGCCAAGCAGGAACCCTAAGGATTCATGAAAGAGTTCACACTGGGGAAAAGCCTTATGAATGTAAACAGTGTGGCAAGTGTTTTAATCAAACAGGAAGCCTAACGAGTCATGAAAGAGTTCACACTGGGGAAAAGCCTTACGAATGTAAACAGTGTGGGAAGTGTTTTAGAAATCCAGGACACTTAAAGAATCATGAAGGAATTCACACTGGGGAAAAGTCTTACGAATGTAAACATTGTGGCAAGTGTTTTAGCCAAGCAGGAATCCTAAGGAGTCATGAAGGAATTCACACTGGGGAAAAGCCTTACAAATGTAAACATTGTGGCAAGTGTTTTAGCCAAGCAGGAACCCTAAGAATTCATGAAAGAGTTCACACTGGGGAAAAGCCTTACAAATGTAAACAATGTGGCAAATGTTTTAGCCAAGCAGGAAACCTAAGGATTCATGAAAGAGTTCACACTGGGGAAAAGCGTTACGAATGTAAACATTGTGGCAAGTGTTTTAGCCGATCAGGAGACCTAAGAAGTCATGAAAGAGTTCACTCTGGGGAAACGCCATATGAATGTAAACGATGTGGCAAGTGTTTTAGCCAAGCAGGAACCCTAAGGATTCATGAAAGAGTTCATACTGGGGAAAAGCGTTACGAATGTAAGCAGTGTGGCAAGTGTTTTAGCCAAGCAGGAAACCTAAGGATTCATGAAAGGCTTCACACTGGGGAAAAGCCTTACGAATGTAAGCAGTGTGGCAAGTGTTTTAGCCAAGCAGTAAGCCTAAGGTTTCATGAAAAAGTTCACACTGGGAAAAAGCCTTATGAATGTAAACAGTGTAGCAAGCGTTTCAGTGAAGCTGGAAGCCTGAGGAAACATGAGAGAATCCACACCCTGGTTGAGTCATGCAAATGTTCCCGGAAAAACAAAAGTTTGTCTAAACGTTTGGAATCTTCGAAGCGGAAGAGAACGGGAGGTAAAAACGTTAATGTTAGCAGAGCCATAGGTTTTGCAAACAACATTCAAACACAGAGGGAGACTGGAAACACTGATCTAGCAGATGCACAATTGGTTATCTTTGAGAATTACAGCTGCTGGATTTGTCAAGAGGAGATGAGTAGTGAGGCTCTTCGTCTTCAGCATTATGAAAACCATATGACCTATGTTTGTGAAGATGACTCTTAAGTTAATCAAAGTAAAAACTATGGGGAATTCTGTAGGCTCTTGGAGGAGGGGGTGCGTCAAATCACCTTGCACCTCCCCACAGGCATTGGAGGGTTGTTGACCAATGATTTTAAACAAAGTGAATTAGTGATACTTTGCCTACAATGTACATGTAATTGCAAAATCGCTCTTAATTTTTTGGGATGGTTGAGCAGTTCTTAACATAGTTTGCCAGAAAATTTTCTAAAGAAAGCAAGAAGACAGGCCATTGCAAGATTTTGTCAATCCATGAAAAACTTTGTTCTAAAACTGCCTTTAAAAGAAACTGAAAGTGCCATCAGTGAAGATTTTCGGCCTACAGAATTTTATAAAGACCCAGTTTTTTTCATTTAAGAATCGTCAAGGTAAATTTACAAGTTAGAGCCCTAGTCTCATCTGTTTAGTGTCATGTAACTAGAGAAATATAACTTATATGTACTATCCCTGGGGGGTACTCTTAGAAAATCTTGTTGTGGCGTCCAGTTCTCTAAATCCTGACCCTATTCAGACCGAAAATGTCATTTTGACACCCGTTTTCAGACCAGACCTTTAATATCCATACCCGTTTTCAGACCTTGCCTTTAGGCAGAAATTATGTCATGATTACTTAGATTAGAGCATAGACATAAAATTTATTCAAATGCATTTCGAATTCGCATATTTCTGTTTCGTTCTTTTTCGTCTTTTTTTGCGGGGGTGTTGAGAGTTCTAGGTCGGGGCTTAAATCAGAGTGCGTGGATATTTTTCATCAGAGCTTTCTCTGGTTGTTACACCATACTGACGAGCCCCAAAGAGGGCGAAACAGCTGTCTATGGCTACAATCCCGCTCCGTTTTGAGTTCGTTCGGTGTGGTGTTGATGTCTTGCACAGTTAATTTTCAGGTAGTACGATCAGCATTGTAGTATTCTACTTGCAGAATTTAATATGTCTACGATAAGTACGTTCATACGCTCCCGTAGTTCCCTCATAAACCATAGTCCATTCCGTTTTCAGACCAAAAAGGTCCAAAAACCATACCCTTTGGGGCGGCACATACCTATATGACTTTTAAAGGGGTTCCCCCCCCCCCCCCCCCGACTCACAAACCCTAAGTTCGTCCCTGTTTAAAACACAAAAACCACCAAACCCAACCCCTTTGGGGGGCGACTACCCTTTTTTATTTTTAAAGGGGTTCCCCCCCCCCCCCCAGGTACTTTCTAACATACTTTTTTCAGCATCGTTCATCTGTTTGGTAAGAAGCCCCCAACTTGGAACACTATTGAAAGATCATTATGATCAGCGGCAAACTTTGTGAATAGTCAGATTTACAACTTTCTTTCAATTTTACTTTTGAAATTGTGATGCCATTATCAAAATACGTACATAAAGTAGTCTATTTGCCATATAATCAATTTTGAAGGTCCAAGATATTGCCAATTGTCCACGTTTCGATTTTTCTTAATACTACCGGCCCTCAAAACGCACGCAATGTACTCAGGAAACCTAATTCTCCCAAAAATTCCACCCCTCTAAGAAACAAGTGCAGTCGTTTTGGTCGGTCTTCTCGTTGGAACGCTCTCTCACAGAAGAAAAAACCTGGATACGGGCCTGGCTGAGGATAATTCTTTAGAAAAATCTCCTGCCTCCTTCTTCATCTCTGGCCGTAGATCTTTCGCGCCGCTGTATCTCATCCAGGAACGAAAAACACACCGAACAACTACCTGCTACGCAGGCTAGTGCAAGTAGTAGTGGAGAACTGAACTGCTCGCTAAGTAACTGACCGTTTTGCTGCATTTTGTAATGAAAACTACTGATAGAAAGTATAGGTTGTACATTTTATAGCCTCGTAAATTTCTAAGACCAATATCATTCATGTGCATGTAAGCGATGTATTTAAGAGATTGCCGATTAGCTGGCGAGCAAGCTCATTTGGGGATATCGTGAAAAGTAGACGCGCGTGAGGCACGCGAGAAGAGATGCGAAAGCGGGGGTGCCCCCTCGCGGCTCGCTTCGTTCGCCCAAACATGAGAGCCTGATCGCAGGCAGGACTCCATAACCCGGAGCGTGCAAACCCCATACTAGGCCTATGTCACGGCGTTTTTACTGACCGGTTTAGCTGTAGACACATTTTAAGGCAATTTTTCCCTCGAAAATGGAATCTCCGTAACGTCCATGAACGCATTCGAAGTATAAGCTATCAAAGAGGAAAACGTAACGTCATTAAAAGGCAAAAGTTATCATTTTTAGGGCTGTAGGTTTTCCTGACTGGTTTGTGTGACTTTAAAGATACCGTAAAATTCCGAAAATAAGCCCCGGGGCTTATATTTTTCAAAAGCCTCTTTTGAGGGGCATATTTTTGGAGGGGCCTGTATTGGGAAGGGCTTATCTACGGAGGGAAATTTGCGTTTCAAAACCGGCCAGGCTTATACTGGGAGGGAAATTTACGTCTCAAAATCGATTGGGCTAGCTTATGGTTGGAAGCAAACTTTATCAGTAATTTGCACAAAGTTTTTACTAAAACTAGCCTTGAGAACGTAGATCTTACTGAAACCATGGAAACTAAGCCATGCGAGTACTTTGTGTATATGGAACGACGAAATCCAAGCCAAGAGTTAAGAGTGAACTATGCAAACATGAATATAGTGTGACACATTTTGACTGCAATCATTTGGCACACGTAATAGTTCTTTGGCAAATACAAAAAATTTTGTGTTACTGTACAGTTTTTGCTTTGCTTTATTTTGAATTTGAGGGCAATTTCCAAGTACAAGCCCCTGGGGGACTATATTTGGAGGGCGATTTAGCGAACGGGTTTTTGGATTACGAGTTTGGGGGGCTTATATTTGGAGGGGCTTATACATGAAGGGGCTTATTTTCGAAATTTTACGGTATTCTAAATTCGCGCCAAGACCGTTCTAATGAGCTCCTGTCGCAGGCCAGATTTCTGCCTTGTTTGAGATACCTGTGGACATGTGTTGGAAGGCGCGGGTCACTTATTTAAAAATAAAGATCCCTTTATATAACGTCTTACTCGGAGACACTACTAATGCAAAGATTTTGAAATATGCAGGGTCTCTGAAATAGCATTTTAGGCCTTCTGAGAGCATTTATTTCGTTCCCATTTAAGAAGTGTACTTTGTTTAATACCCGCTTAATTTTTCTTTGTTGAAGCTTTTAAAGAAATAATTTTCAGTCTTTATCGAACTGAAATGAACACATTGAACCGAAGAGCAGCGTGAGGAGCGTGGCCGCTGGCCAAATTAAACGTGCCTGTCAAAATTATTGGGGGGTCCCATGCCACCCCGGCCCCTCCCTATGCTACGGTAATGAAAAATCAGTAGTATTCAACAGAATTTTCGAATCGCAGCATAACCTTGAACGTACAGAAAATGCGTTACCGTCGAAGGCCAGGAAACCCAGGGAAGTATCAGAAGTCAATCCCGCGCGCGCTCGTTCCTTTTCCTCGCTTTGGGCGGAGGTTACGAACCCAGCCCACCCCAATGACCACCCGAATCACTTGTAGAAAATTATAAAACGGCAACGAGGAAGTAAACAAAAGAATAAAACGAAGAATATATAGACAAATATATTTACTTGTATTCTGGGTAGAACGTATTTCGTAGAGCGCTCAATTTATTTAATTGACTGGCATTGACTATTAATAATCACAGGAGTTCAGGCTTCAGGAGTAATCATTGATCGTTTATTGCGACAGTGCTGTTTCGTATGGTCCGAAATTGTAGGACCACACAGTGCAGCAAGTGCTTTAGTCTAGCAGGAGACCTAAGGGAACATAAAAGAGTTCACACTGGGGAAAAGCCTTACGAATGTAAACAGTGTGGCAAGTGTTTTAGCCAAGCAGGACACCTAAGGAGTCATGAAGGAATTCACACTGGGGAAAAGCCTTGCAAATGTAAACAATGTGGCAAGTGTTTTAGCCTAGCAGGACACCTAAGGATTCATTGAAGAATTCACACTCGGGAAAAGCCTTACCAATGTAAACAGTGTGGCAAGTGTTTTAGGCGAGCAGGACACCTAAGGAGTCATGAAAGAATTCACACTGGGCAAAAGCCTTACGAATGTAAACAGTGTGGCAAGTGTTTTACCCAGTCAGGAGACCTAAGGAGTCATGAAAGAATTCACACTGGGCAAAAGCCTTACGAATGTAAACAGTGTGGCAAGTGTTTTACCCAGTCAGGAAACCTAAGGGTTCATGAAAGGGTTCACACTGGGGAAAAGCCTTATGAATGTAAACAGTGTGGCAAGTGTTTTAGCCGAGCAGGACACCTAAGGAGTCATGAAAGAATTCACACTGGGCAAAAGCCTTACGAATGTAAAGAGTGTGGCAAGTGTTTTACCCAGTCAGGAAACCTAAGGATTCATGAAAGGGTTCACACTGGGGAAAAGCCTTATGTTATTATGTGTGGCAAGTGTTTTAGTGAAGCAGAAAACCTAAGAAAGCATGAAATGGTTCACTCTGGGCAAACTACATATGAATGTAAACAATGTGGCAAGTGTTTTAGAGTAGCAGCACACTTAAGGATTCATGAAAGAGTTCACTCTGGGGAAAAGCCTTACGAATGTAAGCAGTGTGGCAAGTGTTTTAACCGAGCAGGAAACCTAAGGATTCATGAAAGAGTTCACTCTTGGGAAAAGCCTTACGAATGTAAACAGTGTGGCATGTGTTTTAGCCAAGCAGGAAACCTAAGGAGTCATGAAAAAATTCACACTGGGGAAAAGCCCTATAAATGTAAACAGTGTGGCTTTTGTTTTAGGCGAGCAGGAAACCTAAGGAGTCATGAAAGAGTTCACACTGGGGAAAAGCCTTATGAATGTAAACAGTGTGGCAAGTGTTTTAGTCTACCAGGAAACCTAAGAAAGCATGAAAGAGTTCACTCTGGGGAAACGCCATATGAATGTAAACAATGTGACAAGTGTTTTAGCGAAGCAGGAAACCTAAGGATTTATGAAAGAGTTCACACTGAGGAAAAGGCTTACGAATGTAAACAGTGTGGCAAGTGTTTTAGCCAAGCAGGAAACCTAAGGATTCATGAAAGAGTTCACACTGAGGAAAAGGCTTACGAATGTAAGCAGTGTGGCAAGTGTTTTAGCCAAGCAGGAAACCTAAGGATTCATAAAAATGTTCACACTGGAAAAAAGCCTTATGAATGTAAACAGTGTAGCAAGCGTTTCAGTGAAGCAAGAAGTCTGAGGAAGCATGAGAGAATCCACACTCTGGTTGGGTCACGTAAATCTTCCCGGAAAAACAAAAGTCTTTTTAAACGTTTGGAATCTTGCAAGCGGAAGAGAGCGGGAGGTAAAAACGTTAATTTTAGCAGAGCCATAGGTTTTACAAACAACCTTCAAACACAGCGGGGGACTGGAAGCACTGATCTAACAGATGCACAATTGGTCATTTTTGAGAATTACAGATGCTGGATTTGTCAAGAGGAGATGAGTAGTGAGGCTCTTCTTCTTCAACATTATGAAAACCATATGACCTGTTTGTGAAGATGACTCTTAGGTTAATTAAAGTAAAAACTATGGGGAATTCTGTAGGCTCAAGGAGGAGGGGGTGAGTCAAATTACCTTGCACCTCCCCACAGGTACCGGGGGGTTGTTGACCAATGATTTCAACCAAAGGGAATTAGTGATACTTTGCTTACAATGTACATGTAATTGCCAAATCTTTCTGAATTTTTTGCCACGGTTAAGCAGTTCTTAACATAGTTCACCAGAGAATGGGCCGAAGAAAGCAAGAGGAGGGGCCACTGCCACATTTTGTCAATCTATGAATAACTCTGTTCTTAAACTGCCTCGAAAAGAAACTGAAAGTGCCGTCAGTGAAGTTTTTGGGGCTGCAGAATTATTGAAGGTAAATTAGAGTTAAGAGATTTATTGCGCATTTGGACACGGACGCCCTTGGGGGAGTGGCCCATCTCATCTGTTTAGTGTCCTTAACTGGGGAAATATAACTTATATGTACTAATCCCTGGGGGGTACTCCTAGGAATTCTTGTTTTAGCGCTCAGTCCTGTAAATTCTGACCTTATTTTAGACCAAAAATGTCATTTTGAGACCCGTTTTCAGACCAGACCTTTAAAATCCATACCCGTTTTTAGACCTGGCCTTTAGGCAGAAATTATGTCATGATTACTTAGATTAGAGCGCAAACAAAAATTTTATTCAAATGCATTTCGAATTCGCATATTTCTATTTCGTTCTTTTTCACTTGGAATGGATACGATAAATACGTCCCTACACTCTCGTACACTCTCGTACTCATAAACCATAGTCGATTCCAGAGAAAAATTTACACCCGTTTTCAGACCAAAAAGGTCCAAAAACCATACCCTTTGGGGCGGCACATACCTATATGGCTTATATAAGGGGTTTTTCCACCCCCCCTTCCCGGGTACTTTCTAAGATCCTTTTTTTCTGCATCGTTCATCAGTTTGCGAAGAAGCCCCCTACTTGGAACACTACTGAAAGATCATTATGATCAACAGGAAACTTTGTGAATAATCAGATTTACAACTTTCGTTCTATTTTACTTTTGAAATTGTGATGCCTTTATTAAAATACGTACATAAAGTAGTCTATTTGCCATATAATCAGTTTTGAAGGTCCAAGATATTGCCAATTGTCCACCTTTCGATTTTCTTAATACTGCAGGCCCTCAAAACGCTCGCAATGTACTCTCAGAAAATCTAATTGTCCCAACGCCCCCTCCCCTCCAAGAAACAAGTGCAGTCGGTTTGGTCGGTCTTCTCGTTGGAACGCACTCTCAAAGAAAAAAACCTGGCTACGGGCCTGGCCGAGGATAATTCTTTAGAATAAACCTCCTGCATCCTTCTACATCTCTGGCCTCAGATCTTTCGCGCCGTTGTATCTCAACCAGGAACGAAAAACACACCGAACGACTACCTGCTACGCAGGCTACTGCAAGTAGTAGTGGAGAACTGAACTGCTCGCTAAGTAACTGACATTTTTGCTGCATTTTATAATGAAAACTACTGATACAAAGTATAGGTTGTACATTTTATAGCCTCGTAAATTTCTAAGATCAATATCATTACCGGCTTTAAGTAAATGTAGGCGATTTATTTAAGAGATTAACGAATAGCCTGCGAGCAAGCTTATTTGGGGATATCGTGAAAAGCAGACGCGCATGAGGCACGCGAGAAGAGATGCGAAAGCGGGGGATGGCCCCTCGCGGCTCGCTTCGCTCGCCCGAACATGAGAGCTTGATCGCAGGCAGGAGCCCATATCCCGGAGCGTGTAACCCCCATACTAGGCCTATGTGACGGCGTTTTTACTGACCGGTTTGTTTGTAGACACATTTTAGGGTTATTTTTCCCGCGAAAATGGAATCTCCTCCACGTCCATGAACGCATTCGAAGTATAAGCTATCAAAGGGGAAAACGTAACGTCATTAAAAGGCAAAAGTTATCAGTTTTAGGGCTGTATGTTTTCCTGACTGGTTTTTTTGACTTTGAAGATACCGTAAAATTTTGAAAATAAGCTCCGGGGCCTATATTTTTCCTTTTTTTATACTGGGAGGGAAATTTACGTCTCAAAATCGATTGGGTTAGCTTATGGTTGGAAGCAAGCTTTATCAGTAATTTGCAGAAACTAGCCTTGAGAACGTAGATCTTACTGAAACTAATCCATGCCTTTACTTTGTCTATATGGAACGAGGAAATCAAAGCCAAGAGTTAAGAGTGCACTATGCAAACAGCAATATAGTGTGACACATTTTGACTGCAACCATTTGGCACACGTAATAGTTCTTTGGCAAATGCAAAAATTTTTGTGTTACTTTAGAGTTTTTGCTTTGATTTATTTTGAATTTGTGGGCAATTCCCAAGTACAAGCCCCCGGGGGACTATATTTTGAGGGGCGATTTAACGAACTGGTTTTTGGGTTACGAGTTTGGGGAGCTTGTATTTGGAGGGGCTTATACATGGAGGGGCTTATTTTCGGAATTTTACGGTATTCTAAATTCGCGCCAAGACCGTTCTAATGAGCTCCTGTCGCAGGCCAGATTTCTGCCTTGTTTGAGATACCTGTGGACATGTGTTAGAAGTCGCGGATCACTCATTTAAAAATAAAGGTTCCTTATAACGTCTTACTCGGAGATACTACTAATGCAAATAATGTTTCAGCGAAAAACAGTGCCGTAGCAAGGTTAGATTTATTGGGGGGGCGCAATCACGAGCGCCGAAGGCGCGAGCTGTTAGGGGGGTCCGGGGGCATGCACCCCTGGAAGATTTTGAAATACGGGGTCTCTGAAATGGCATTTTAAGCCTTCCGAGAGCATTTATTTTCCATTTAAGAAGTGTACTTTGTTTAATAAGCGGTTTATAATTTTTCTTTGTTGAAGCCATAAATAAATAAATTTTAGGCTTAAGCGAACTGAAATGAACAGATTGAACCGAAGAGTAGGGTGAAGAGCGTGGCCGCTGACCAAATTAAACATGCCTGTCAAAATTATTGGGGGGGGGACCCAGGCGCGCCCGGCCCCTCCCCATGCTACGGCACTGGACGGCACTGAAAAATTAGTAAGAAACAGTATTATAAACTATAGTATTTAACTGAATTTTCGAATCAAAGCATAACCTTGAATGACAGAAAATAGTTATGGTCGAAGGCCAGGGAACCCAGGGAAGTATCAGAAGTCGAGCCCGCGCGCCCGTTCCTTTTCCTCGGTTTTGGCGGAGGTTACGAACCCAGCCCAACTCAATGACCATCCCAATCACTTGTAGAAAATTATAAAACGGCAATGAGAAAGTAACAAAAACTACCAAGCCACTGTAACTACAGCGACGACAACTGAAACTTAGGTCGGAATGGCAACAAACTTTAAGGAACGTTACAGAAACCATCAGTCCTCCTTTCGACGCTCGAACAGAAGAAATGAAACGGAACTATCAAAGTATATTTGGACTACAATACTCTAACAAACCTTTCCAGATAAAATGGAAAGTTTTAAAGAAACGTAAAGCTTATAGCAACATTAGCAAAAAATGTAATCTTTCTCTTTATGAAAAGTTCATCATCATTTGTAAAAAAGAGCGCTGTAGCCGAAACAGGCGAAACGAACTAGCGAGTTCATGCCCCCACAGAAACAGATATGTACTTCAGAACTAAAGTAGAACTCTAGAGTAACGTAACTAAGACACAATCCATCTGTTACCTAGATGCTATCTCTTAACGCATCCCTATATTTACTGCCAGCTTTCAATTTTAACGCTCATTCGTTGAAGTTGCCTGATGAGTGTGGTCCTACAATTTCGGACCATACCAAATAGCACTGTCGCAATAAACGATCAATGATTACTCCTGAAGCCTAAACTCCTGTGATTATTAATAGTCAATACGTTCTACCTAGAATACAAGTATTGACAAATATATTTCAATATATATATTTTTTGTCTTAAGGATCAGTTTGCCGTGTTTATGATTTGGCACAAGTTTTCATTGTACTGATCCAGGACTACAACTAAGAGATCCGACAGGATTCACCGGTTTGTTGCCAGGACTTGGTGATATTTTATATTTTGGCACTCCGATCTTTGCGTAAATCGCTCATATATTTGGAAAATGATTTACTCGTGATAGGATAACTAAAAGTAAATGCGTTGAAAGTAAAGTCATCCAATTTCTTAGCCGTTATTAAAAACTTATAGTCTTGCAATAGAGGTGGCATCACGCAAGACGTCTAGCGAAATAAAATGAAATAAAGTTAAAAATAATTATAGCAGTTACAAAATCTCCTTACAAAAGATAAAATGGATAATAAAATCATAGCATAAATTATTGTACAATATGGACCTAATGTTAACAATTTCGCTTGGTAACGCATTCCAGTTAGAAACTGGTCACTATAAAGAAACAAACGAACAAAAAATGGAAAACCCTTCACCCGGACCCTCACTTATTTAGCTTAGGTCCAAACTCCCTGCGAGTTTTTGCACTCCTCAACCTCTCCCCCAGGGTCTTCTCGCTTTTCAATATGTGCGCGACAGGAAAGCGAGAAGACCCTGGGGACGAGGTTGTGTTAAAATCAAAATGGCCGCCATCAGCAAGTGATTTATGAATCCTTCAGTTCTTGGTTTTATTTTCCGTCGTGTGATTTGATCAAAGCGACAAGGTCTTGTTACTAAAGGTAAGAACGTTTTCAATACATTATGGATATATTCAGTTGTGAAAGTCAAATGATAGCGGCTAGCTACTCGGAACAACACACAGATGATCCAGAGTCCTACTACAGTATGTGGTCCTTGGTCCGCGTGTAAAAGTCATTAACTTGAATATCTTACCCGAATCTTCATGTAACGAGCTGAAATACTCCCTGAAGATAGCTTTTATGTTCCTGTCGATAATCCTGAAGTTTCAAGTTCCAGACATAAATGTTTTGCTTGGAATTCGCAAAAAGGCGACCGTTTTCGATGGTCCTTGGTCCGCGTCTCAGGTAAGCAGCACGATAAAAACGTAAAAATGTTATAGTTTCCACACGAAAACGTGATTTTCACAGTATTTCTTGTATTTTTTTCTTTTCTTGATGCAATTAAGCTTAAGTTTTTTGCGGAAGATGTTGTGAGCATAAAATAATCTGCTTTTCTTTCAAAGACTTCAGACAACAGTCTCCTCGAGTCTCCCACACGAGCGTCGACGAGCAGTTTTTAGCGCGGTCGAAAATAATTACCAAATTCTCTGTATGTACTCGAGGTATTAAAAAAGAGAACTTATAGACATGTATAGGGACGACTTTCAAAACATTCTTCGAAAACAAAGGCCGTCGCTTTTTACTTTGGAAAGTTTTATTCAACCAAGGTCATAGGACGCGGACCAAGGACCGCTAAGCGAAATTTGGTGATATTTTTCAAGAGTCGCTAAAACAAAAAATTCAGCGTCTACAGCAATATGCTTCCAACAGCAGAAATAAGTTGACCTGAAAACCTGTTCTGCAAAAAGGCAAGTCTTCCCGTTGCGTTTTAGTTATTCCCAGGCTAAGTAAACATGACCATGTAATTTACGGTGCCGCAAAAATTCAAACTTCAAGAAAGACAAATTAACCTACCTGTCAACAAACTTTAATTTCACGTCTTCACCCGCAGCAAGAAGGCTGAAACTTCGTCATATGAAAGACTGCTAATCAGTAAATCACAATACCTTTCATTATTTAACGTATTTTTATTCTTGACAAAATATTTTATCATTTTCGGAAAAGACGCGGACCAAGGGCATCGGGGACTTCCGGGGACCAAGGACCACATACTGTACTTTCGGACTCGATGTGGGGCCATCAGATCCTAATAACAACGGACCTGAACTTGCTTTCCCAGATACAAATATCTATCTCCTGTTTTAAAATTTTTTTGTTTCCAATCTTATTACGTTGTTTTGTATCTGAAGGCTTCAATAAGCTTTAAACTTATCTTTTCATGATTTACTATTGCACGTAATGACCTTTGGTCACCTTTATTCAAAAATCTGTAGTCTTGCCACAGGGTTGCCATCACCCAAGACGCCTAATAGATCATTTTCACTGTCACGCAACAAAAAAATAAATTGGAAACTGTCCAGTGCAAGAAGCCAAGAAACTGAAATGTTATAAAAGACTAATACAGTCGACTCCCGATAACTTGAACCTTCAAGGGAAATCGAAAAAGGTTCGAGTTATCGGGAGCTGGAAAAAAAAACAGCCATGAGTGAGGAAAAAACAGTTTTTACTGCATAGTGAACATTTTAATCACATTAATTGTAGAAATGCTAAGTGAAAATTAAAAGATACTTCTAGATTATAAATCAGAACGTAACATGACAAAACCTTGCTTAAATAGAGCTTGCATATAACTGTTTTGAGAAGTAAAGCTGTTTCACGTTAGATTTATGACAAACAACATCAGTGTCCACTAGTAAACTATATGCCTAAAACACGTCAGTGGGAAATTCAAATTTCAATGTTTGGGACGCGAGTAGACTGTTTTTTTTAGAGTTTTTGAGTTATCGAGGGTAAAATTATATAGAAATGAGCTGAGGGGAAACAAAAACTACTTCGAGTTAGTGGGAGTTTCGAGTTATCAAGGGTTTGAGTTACTGAGTGTAAAATTACATTAAATGTATGACGGAAATCCAGGGGAAATTGATTTTGGTTCAAGTTAGCGCGAGGTTCGAGTTAGCGAGGGTTCAAGTTATCGGGAGTCAACTGAATATAAACAATTTGTCCCAAGTCTCAGGTCTTTGTCACTCACAGTTTCTGAGTTATTTGCCGAAATGTTTCACGCACCTTTGTAGAGTGTTGTATGGAGACGCCACATTGGTGCACTGTTTTGGTGCACCAGTATGGCCACCAGATATCAACAAAAGATCTGAAGGTCACTTTTTCTTTTGAAAAGCTCTTTCTTTCTTTTCGAGAACTAGTGTACGTACACATAAATTCCTGTATTTTCGAAATGAAACATGCTATGGGACTAGAAACTTGTACAAAGATTTATTTTTTGTTTAACTTCAACCTAGTGTAAATAAGAACTCGTAAAACCTCTCTATTTTGACTTTACCATTTGATGACGTCACTGTGAAAATGATAGATCTATAAAATGAAACAAACTTAAAAGCAATGATGTAAAAAATTTTCTACAAGACATAAAATGGATAAAAGTTCCACAGCATCAATCATTAATTTACTGTAACATTAAAAATTCATCATGGACTCAAATACTCAAATAGGACTTTTTCGAATCGATGTGCGGACTTAATGTTAACAATTTCGCTTGGTAATGCATTCCAGTCTTTGACAGTTCTACACTTAACACGGACATCGAGCTTTGTCACGTATTATCTTTGCCTGTGAATAGAGCCGTCTCTCCTTGCTCTTCACAGATAGCAGTCGACTTGTACCTAAACAATTTGGAAGAAAATAGTTGAATTCAATAAGAGTCTTGTTTACTTTGTTGTTTAATTCAATTTTCACATGAGTTAAAAAATTATCTGCTGTGATTTCTTAAAAACTTTCTTATTCACATACACAATTTTGAAAGTATTTGACCAACTAGTTGGATTTTACTAAAACTATTATTCCTCTTGTTCTCATGGCCTTCGACCTCATGGGCTATTGACTCAAAGCCATTCAGGCTCGAGGGATAATTGTTAATTATTATTTGGACCAAATGAATAAGAGATAGGTGGTATTAATAAATCAAACTGTGACACTTCATGTTGACTGATCCTCTGAGTTCTGCTTTCCTTAAGCATAAAAATCCACAAAGATACAAAATAATTCATGGTATGCATTCCATAGGACACGAAGATTGCCCAAGTGATATGAAGATGTTTTTCTAGAATATCCTGTTTGTGTAGTTTCTGTGGTTGTTGTTAATGACGCATATTAAATTCTTTTAGTCTTTGTTGTACTTTAAAATAGAAGGAGTATATTTTTATTTCGGTGAACTTTGGAGTCTGTCTTCAGATTAACTCCCTGGTTACATAAAGGCTAAAGCATTTTTCAGTCTAGGGATGGTTTATTATTTATAAGGATGACCGGGTCGTAGTATGTTCATTTGGGGTCAAATTTTCCAAAGCCCGTTCAATTTGACACTGATTTGAAGTGAGTAACTTGGGAAAATCATAATGCATTTCACAAAATTAAGTAACCTCCCCATCAAATATTCCTCCCTGTCTGTTAAACATGCTTAAAAAATAAGCTGCCAGGGAGCTTTATAGAGGATTTATGGTAAAACGCGTTCCACTAAATTGTCTGTAGGATTTAATGACCAATATTGACCAATATTGTAAATGTATGTATGTATTGTTAATGAGGCAACCAAGCTAAGAAGCGAGGTTGCCTCTGCTGCAGATTCATAATTCTGTGTAACCCTCTATAATTTGAATTTTCGACCATATTTGATTGTAAGTAAGACCCCATATTTGGGCAATCATGTCATGGTCTTTTATTTACAACTCCTGGTATGAGATTAAGTGATCCAGTGTAAAACTGATCATTATCTGCTCCTGAGGATCTAACGGGTGAGAAAGCTTTAAGATGATTTCTTGTTTGAAAGAGCTACTAGTGCTCAGTTATGCATGATAATTTATGTATAAAGCAACAGCTGATCAAAGAAGAGGCTTGCAAGCTCAAATTTTTGTGGGAGCCAGCTTATTCCTCGCAGCTCGTTTTCAGCGTTCTCTTTTCCTTTGTAAACTGAATTTGAAGCGGTAGCTGTTCAATGAATAGGCTTACACTCTCAAAACTTTTATCAGAACCAACGTGTTCTTCACAGTTCCATTTACATTGAGCTAGTCCTCATAGTCCCTCACCTTCCGTGAGGATTGCAACGCCTTTGTGGACCTTTTGTTTTTTAGAATCTATTTTTGTCTTTTGAGGGATTTTGTCAACCAGCATGTTCTTTTGCAGATTTATTTACTTTGAGACAGGCCTAAACTAATGTGAGTAAAGGAACGAGTTTGTGGACATTTTGTTTTAAAGACTATTGTTATGCCTTTCGAGAGTGACACTTGCTGAAGTTTTTATTTTTGTACCTCTGGTACACTCTGCCCCATTCTTACGCTTTTGACACATTTTGCTTTACACCAATTTTTTCATGATGCAGAATATTGTTTTCTTACCACAGATAATGCTGTCGATCAGCGAAAGGCACCCGATTCTTTAGTCTGCTTCTTCCTCTTCTTTTTATTTTTTGCTTTTGGTAGTGCATTTCACTAAATTAAATAACCAGGTCCCTCTCAAATAATCCTTACTCTCTGTTAAACATGCTTAAAAAATAAGCCCCCAGGGAGCTTTATAGGGGATTTACAGTAACACAGGTTCCACTATTTTCTGTATTAAAGCTGCATGATGAGCCTTAATTACCATTTATAAATGCCTGTTATTTTACAAACCACAGGGAAGTCCCCAATCCAAATACAAAGTCAACAAATGATTAATTTAACCCTGTTGATGGATTCTCCATGTTGAAGGGGTCATGTAAAGTTGTACATGTAGGTATGTAGTCTGTTTATGACAGGCCTAGAACCATTTTGTTATAGGCAGGTATCTTTAAAGTTTTCTAATTTTCCACACCTCCTTAACAACATTCAGATGTCGCACCCCTTGGCTACAAAGTTGGGGCACCAAAACAAAATATCATTGTGCATTTACCTGAGAATTTTTCTTTTTCCTGCCAAAGGGTACCATAACTATAACACGTTTCAAGAAGAACAAACTCAATGTCCTTTAAGTGCCTGCAGTGCAGCAAGTGCTTTAGTCTAGCAGGAGACCTAAGGAGTCATCAAAGAGTTCACAATGGGCAAAAGCCTTACAAATGTAAAGAGTGTGGCAAGTGTTTTAGCCAAGACAGAACCCTAAGGATTCATGAAAGAGTTCACACTGGGGAAAAGCCTTATGAATGTAAACAATGTGGCAAGTGTTTTAGCCGAGCAGAAACCCTAAGGATTCATGAAAGAGTTCACACTGGGGAAAAGCCTTATGAATGTAAACAATGTGGCAAGTGTTTTAGCAGAGCAGGAAACCTAAGGACTCATGAAAGAGTTCACACTGGGGAAAAGCCTTATGAATGTAAACAGTGTGACAAGTGTTTTAGCCGATCAGGAGCCCTAAGGTTTCATGAAAGAGTTCACACTGGAGAAAAGCCTTATGAATGTAAACAGTGTGACAAGTGTTTTAGCCAAGCAGGAAATCTAAGGACTCATGAAAGAGTTCACAATGGGGAAAAGCCTTATGAATGTAAACAGTGTGGCAGGTGTTTTAGAAATACAGGAACCCTAAGGAGTCATGAAAGAGTTCACACTGGGGAAAAGCCTTATGAATGTAAACATTGTGGCAAGTGTTTTAGAAATGCAGGAACCTTAAGGAGGCATGAAAGAGTTCACACTGGGGAAAAGCCTTGTGAATGTAAGCAATGTGGCATGTGTTTTGGCCGAGCAGCAAACCTGAGGAGGCATGAAAGAGTTCACACTGTGGAAAAGCGGTACGAATGTAAACAGTGTGACAAGTGTTTTAATGTAGCAGGACACCTAAGGATTCATGAAAGAGTTCACACTGGAGAAAAGCCTTACAAATGTAAACTGTGTAGCAAGTGTTTTAGCCATGCACCTAGCCTGAGGAGGCATGAAAGAATCCACACAGCACTCTATTAAACATTGGTGTCGAAGTTGTGCACTCTGTCATCACTGCGAAACACAGCTGTTGGAATTGTCAAGAGGAGATGAGTTGTGAGGCTCTTCTTCTTCAACATTATGAAAACCAAGGAACCTATGTTTGTGAAGATGATTCTGTCAGTTAAAATACCCTCTCATGTCTTTTGAGGTTTTCTTCTATTGGTTACGTTTTGGTCTTTGAACAACATTTTTATGTGGCTTTAGAGCATTTTCGTTGGTGTTAAACGACCCTTTCGGTTAAAGTCGCACAGCAGAAATCGTACCATTCCAGTGTATTGAATATCAAGCACGGCAACATTAACGCCGTTGTCTTACTGGACCTCAAAAAGGGAGTGCTTACCATTTGTACGGAAATTTCGGTGAAAAATTTCGGTCAAATGGTACTGGCATTTTGTTTGGCACAGCAAAGAGGAACGGGATTGAGTTGTACCATTTACAAAATACCGATAAATTTTTCTCTCCCTCTCAAGATGAAGCCTGGCACGGTCGGTCGTGTCGGTAAAAACGGGAAAAATGTAATACCTCGAAATGTAGTACTTGTTTTCCGGAAAATTTCCACCGGGATGAACCGTTCCATTTGAACTCTCCCCGGAATTTCCGGGTTTTCCATACAAATGGTAATTTCTCAGGCTGTTGATACGGTTGACCATACCTCACGATTATCTAACCTTGACTGCGGTATAACCGGCCCTGAAGGAGACAGGTTCAGATCATACCCTTCAAAGTTGAATTGGGTACGCAAAGTCTGTAGCTTTTCGGTTTTATTTGGCTGTTTGACGAAGTGAGAGCCGAATCTCGCGATTACTTCGATTTCTTTGATTTATTCTTTAACTTGGCTTTCCCGGGGTTTGAACCGACTCACCTGTGTGACCCGTCAGATCAGGGGAGACTCTAAGTTGAGGGATTAGCCGATTGCGCTACTGCGACCCAAGGTAGTTCGGAATGTGAAAAATAGTTATGAAATTATGCACTAGTTTCGGGACAAGATTGGGCGTGCAAGTTCGTGACTTTTCGGCTTGTTTCGACTATTTCACGAAATGAGACCGGACTATTCTTGAGATCACCTCGCGTTTAGTCTTTAATTACGCGAGGAATAAATAGAGCATATTACGTGGCCGCGCAGAGACTAGACTTTCAAAAAAGTCCTTCGCCGGATTTACAAGGCTCGCTCCGCTCGCCAAGAGGTCGACTTGTAGCAAGTCTACGCAGAGGCACGAAATTTCTCTTCGAGTGTTGAAAAACATTTCACGAGTGAGCCCTTCTTTCAAACTGCTTTGTGATGAATTTAAAGTTACAAAATGCTGCAAAAAAGACGTTTTGTCTTTGTTGAGTGTTACGTAGTAAAATTGCTTTAATGCGTTGTGTGACTTTCTCGAACGTTCTCCATGTTTTTGGATTATTCATGAATATTTTTACATTTCAGCATGAGTCAGCAGATTTGCATCCGTTGCTGAAATCATAAAATATGTCGAAAAGCTACTACTGTTGGCGTGTTTAGTATTTTCACGAACCTTATGTCAAACGGTATACAAGTTCCAAGCGAGTTCTTTTCACGAACTAAGTTTTTTCCCACGAGCTGAAGTGCTGGGTTTAGTCAAGTGTGACGAAGGTCGATTTTCAAGTTCTGTGTTTACAAGTTGGCGGAAGCCGTAAGATATCTGAAGTTCAAGTAGTTTTACTTAAGTTCAAGTCAAGTCTTTGTTGGCGGATGCTGCTTTTTAAAGCTCTGTAAAGGCTATGTTCCTCTGGTATTAAACTTCCTTGTGTTAATCCGACGTCCCTGCGTGCTGATAGTCAGTGAACAATTATCCTCAAAACATTCGAACTCGTAACATTGAGTTGCTCAACGTAATTGACTCCTTACCCATGCCTTACATATCTTTAATCAGTACATGAGAGTGCTATGCTGTTTTTGACGCCTGCTGTGACTAAGAAAAATAGAGAATTCTTTTTCACTGTTTGTTTTGTAAGACTTGTTATTCACCGCCAGTAACCTCATATTTGACTTAGGTCTAAACGTTTAGACCCAAGTCAAATTTAGAAGGATTTGTATGGTGTCATCAGAGCATAACTGGGCCAATGTCTCAGAGACAATTTGTCCCGAAATGCTAGTTTTTGGCAAGTAGGCCTCTTGGATGTTGCTCTTTTCAGAATATCCTGACAAATCCCATAATGTCACAAATTAACACCTTACTCTTACCATATTTCATTTCTTACTATTCCTCCGCATGTACACTTGATCAGTTCCACAACCACGACGCCGAAGTGTCGCTCCGTAGCGTCTTGTTAAAGTATTAAAGTTATCTTACCTTAGCGTAAATCCTCTATTACCCCCACCCCTCCCCCCGCCGCTGGGGGGCTTATTAATTTCAAGTACGTTTGAGAGTAGTCTCCCTCGCAGCCTTTATTGTGTCGTCACGCAACGCTCACTCCCAGCCGTTTTTGTCTCGTCACGCAACGCTCCTCCCCAACAAATGGCTGCTGACATTCGAACCACATTTCTTTCCTGAATTGAGCCAATCACAGCTTTGGTTCTATTTTCTGTAACTATTTCGCACCAAATAATCCTTTAACATGTTGTCCAATCATAGCCTGCTTTCTATCGTATCATGTATAGTTGTTCAGATACGGCGCTGATGAACTGGAAAACGTCAAATCCAACAAATATCTTGGACTCATAATGAGTCCTTTTGGAAACTTTAATCTCGCTAGGCAAGAGCTGAAGAAAGTTGCACTTTAAGCACTCTATAAATTACGGAAAGAGACGGGAAACCACTTCAAGAAAATATAAAATTAACGATGTAGTTATTTGATGCACTGATATCTCCCATACTCTTTTATGCGAGTGAAGTGTGGGTGATTGATTGCAATGGACAATTAGAAAAGGATCCAGCAGAATTAGTTCAAAATAAATTCCTAAAGTGGTTGCTGGGAGTTAATAAATACTGCAATAACAATGCGTACAGGGCTGAGACAGGAAGGTTCCCAATGAGAATTAAAGCCTAATGTAGGAACTTTAAGTTCTAGTTAACCTTAACCAAAAATGAAAACAAATTATCCCAAATAGAATACATGACATTGAATGGAAAGAAAATAAAGCTCTCTGGAGCAAAAAAACCAAAAGCTTATTGGAACAGATAGGATAAGGAGAACTCTGGATGACAGCACACTATGCGGACAAGGGAATCGTAAACATGATAAGGCAACGACTTAAGGATATCCAACTACAACTAGTAGTAATCAAAGATTAATAAGTGCGTTCGAAGTTCAATGAATTTAGCTAAAATCATACAAAAACAGAGGAGGAAATTAGTTGAGAGATTAAATGAGAAAGACGAAGTATTTAAAGAGCAACATGAACAATAGCAACTTTAATAGTGAAACCCAAATATGTAACCAAAGATGTTTATCTACTTAGTTACAATGTAGTTTAGATACTGATTGTGGGAGACTAACTTTTGTAACAGTAACATGAATGATAGTAACTTGAATAGTTACAAGGGATTGGTTAGTTGCAAGGGAAAATGTAACAAAACATGTTAGTCTACTCAGTATCTTGAAAAACTGAAAATGATAGAGTAGATTTTATAACAACAACATGAGGCTATGATGAAGTTCAAAATGCTATGAAAATTAGATTTTTCCATGTCTAAACGTTTCGTGTCTGTGTGTCATAGCATTGTTTAACAATTTTTCTTAACTTAACAGTAACCTGGATGATACTAACTCGATTAGTCACAAGGTAAAATGCAATAATTAAAACATGTCAATCTACTCATTTACAATGTAGTTCAGATACTAAATGAGTGAGACTAATTTTTGTAACGGTAACATGAATAATAGTAAATTGAATAGTTTCAAGAAAGTTATGAAGTTGGTAATGCTATGAAACTTTTTGCAATGTTTAAAAGTTCTGGTGTTTGCATGTCATACCATNTTACTAAAGCAACAAAATGAGAACCTACCCGGCGGTTATAGACAGTTACAAATGTGAAGATTACCTACATCAGGTCACCAATACGCGACACAGAATAGCTCTAACAAAATTGCGACTTAGCAACCACAAATTAGCCATAGAGACAGGACGTTATTCGAGACCGTTTAAGAAACCTGCGGAAAGAATTTGCCCAAGCTGTAAAATAGAAATGGAGGACGAATACCATTTTCTAAATATATGCCCTGCTTACCAGGAAAAAGATGGTCGTTACTAGATTATTTTGATGAAAGAATATAGAATAAAAAAAAGCAGAATGTCACCTAACAAAATATTCATGTTTTTAATAAACCCCCCCAGCGGAAATGCTGAAATACAAAAACTAATAGCAAAACATGTATTCAAATGCTTTGAAAAAAGGAAAGGGGTGAAGACGGCAAAAAGTAAAAGTATTCTAGGACTTAATTAATAACTTATTAGCCATATATGGTTAGGAACTTTTTGTTGTTTGTAATTTTAGTTATTTGGAAATAGTTGATATACTATTTATTGTATGAGACTCCAAGTAAATAAAATATGTATATGTATGTATGCCTTGGATGGCAAATTCCAGGGGGTGGGGACTCTTGAGCTGTCAAATCCCCCGGGATGGGGACGAAAAAGAAGGACAAGTGCCCCGTCCTCCGTCAATACTGCAATTTCTTTTTATTGATCGCACAGTCGAATAGTGCCGTTTTAAGCATTTTAATGAGCGATTTTTTTTCAATTAACGTCTTCCTCTGTAATAGCACTAGGATTCTCATTAAGACTTCACGCCACGTAGCCTGCGAAAACATCCGTTTCTCCTCGCTCTTCGCCGCTGGGGACGTTCCGCGCGAAACGTCCCCAGCGGCGAAGAGCGAGGAGAAACGTATGTTTTCGCAGGCTACACGCCACGACGACACGCACCAGTTTATAATTTTAGTACTGATGTAAAATTATTGACATTAAAATTAACAGAGCGCTGTAACGTTATATGTTATGAATAGTTTTATAAATATGAAGGGATGCTTTTCAAATAATATCAACAGAAATTTGATTCAATGACCAAAAAACGTTGGTTCACGTCGATAGTTGACTGGATAGCTCCCGATTTCGCTATGTAATTCTGGCTTGATAAGCAATGAAGAAATGCATGCTTAAAATCAAGAACATGCCTTTACAACCCTCTTCAATTTTTCCCGCCCTTGACAGATGAGCCAATCTGCTTTCTTTAACAGTAAAATCCTCTGTTTAGTTATATTCTGATAGGGAACCGCGTGCGTGTCAAAGGCTCGGGAATGGCCGCGGGGTTGCAAATGCCCGGCCCACGGGCAGCACAAACTTTGCAAATGCCCCAACCCCAGGACTAACAAGGCGGGCAAATGCCCTGCAGTAGCCCAGGGGGGGCTGGGCGCAGCTGGAATTGAATGATGCGTAAAGCATTATTTTTGTTTTTTGCAGTTCCAATGATTTTTTTAGAGACGCGCATGCTTTTATCTGGCCTTGTCTGGTCTGCCTCTACATGCGACAGGACTGAAGGAATATGCTGGTAATCAGGAGCTTTGGGTTAATAAAACAGTTGGAAAGAATGTGGTTCGAATGTTGGGGAGGAGTGTTACGTGACAAGATAAACACGGCTGCGAGGGAGACTCGTCTGAGGGCGGTTTATTAGAGTGAGGGGAGGGGAGGGGAGGGGAGGGGGGGCGCTTATTTAATTTAGCGAAGATGGTGGTAGCGCTCCTTAAAGAAGTAGAATTCAAAGTGGAAAAGCTCATGTATGCAGCCGAGGATCAAAAATAAATCCAAACTTCCAACACGTTATAATACTATCCCGGTTCAGTCCAAATGAACTTGTACAATTTATGTTTTCATCTTTATTATATTCCTGGCTATTTACAGTATAATTGATCTGGGAAGGGCGTGTGAATGCATCTGGCTACGGGCCTGGCCGAGGATAATTCTTTAGAAAAACCTCTTGCCTTCTCCCACGTCTTTGACCTCAGAGCTTTCGCGCCGCTGTATGTCAACCACAAACGAAAAACACACCAAATAACTACCTGATGCGCACGCTACTTCAAATAGTAGTGGAGAAATGAACTTCTCGGGAAGCAACTGACGTACATTTTAACGCCTTCGTAAATTTCTAAGATCAATATCATTACCGCCTTTTTATGTAGGCTATTTATTTAAGAGATTGGTATCGAGAACCATTCGAGATAAAAGTAAACAAGAGTAAGAAGGCGCGGGTCACGTATTTGAAAAGAAAGGTTCCTCTAAAACTTCTTTTTACACTACTAATGCAAATAACGTTTCAGCGAAAAATCAGTAAGAAACAATAATATAAACCACAGTGTTCAGCACTTATTCAACTGAATGTTTGAATCAAAGAATAACCTTGGAAGGTGCAGAAATTTCAGCCGAGAAAAAGTCTTACCGTCGAATGCCAGGGAAACGATGGAAATATCAGAAGTCAAGCCCGCGTGCGCCCGTTCCTTTTCCTGGCTTTGGGTGGATGTTACGAACCCAGCCCACCCCAAACACTTGTAGAAAATCATAAAACGGCAGACTGATCGTTGAAGCAAGGCGATAAAGGGAAGCAAAGGTGGCGCAGTGGTGAGAGCACTCTCCTCCCATCAATTCAAAGTAGACAGACTGCAAATCATCTTAGTTGCTAAAAAAATATATCTACGTGTCGCAACTGTTCATCAGTAGGATGCCTAAAATGCGTGCAATTCCACCATTGGTTTCGGCTCCATGTGGTCCGGCCCGGGTTCGAACGTATGCCATATGCGAGTTGATTTTTTTGTTGGTTCTTTCCCCGGGGTTCTCTCCGGGTACTCCGGTTTTCCCCTCTTCTTAAAAACCAACACTTTCAAATTCCAATTCCATCTAAGAAATCACGGACACGTTTCGACCAGAGTACTCCGTGAGTCAACAAATTACAAATTGTTTTAATTTATGAAGAAGTAATCAAAAGGAAAAAACGAAAAAAAATATTTAAACAAATATATATTTTTTGTTCTATTCCTTTGTTTACTTTTTAATCGCCTTGGCGTCTTATTATTTTCTGCAAGTTACCGTAAAAATCCGAAAATAAGCCCAGGGGCTTATATTTCTCAAAGGCCCTTTTTGTGGGGCATATTTTTGGAGGGGCTTATCTACGAAGGGAAATTTGCGTTTCAAAATCGATTGGGCTAGCTTGATAGTTAGAAGGAAATTTACCGTTCTTGCTTTGTTTTACTAGTTTGAGGGCAATTTCCAAGTACAAGCCCCGGGAGGGGCTTATATCTGGAGGGGCGATTTAACGCAGGGTTTTTTGCGTTACGAATTTGGAGGGGCTTACTTTCGGCATTTTACGATATTATGTATTGATCCAGGTCTACAACTTAACTGGGAGATCTGGCACCACTCAACGGTTTGTCGCTGTAGACTGCTGATATTCAGGGCGTAAGAAGCTAGGGTAGCTTCTTACGCCCCGCTGATATTTTATGTCTTGGCGCCCCAATCACTCATGACCGTCTCATATATCTGGAAAATGATTTGCACGTGCAAGAAAGAGAAGCTAACTCCCGGGGATATCTGCTTCTGCTAAAAGTAGATGTGTTGAAAGTAAAGACATCCAGGCAATCCAGTTCTCAGAAATTGCTCACTAAAGACAAACAAAATAAAGAAAAACCCGTGCGCACCCTTTCATCATGCAGCTTAGGTCCCCAGTCCCCACGGGTTTTTTCTTTCACACTGTCAAAATCAAAATGGCCGCTATCGGACCGTGATTTTTGAATCCATCAGTTCTTGGTTTTATCTTCCTTCGTGTGATTTGATCAAAGTGACAAGATCTTGTTACTAAAGGTAAGAACGTTTTCAATACATTATGGATATATTCAGTTGTGAAAGTCAAATGATAGCTGCTAGCTACTCGGATGAGAACACACACACATGATCCCGAGTCCTACTACTTTCGGGCTCGATATCGGGCCATCAGATCCTAATAACAACGGACCTGAACTTGGTTTCCCAGATACAAATATCTATCTGCTGTTTTTAAATTGGGAGCAACTTCAGAATACCCGGCCACATCATTCACATTTGTCGGAACGCTTTAAAGAACGAGGTATAACACAATAGGCACTTTTGTTATTCAATGATATGCAAAGAAGTGGCCGGGTATTCTGATTTCCAAGCATATTACGTTGTTTGATACCTATCTGAAGGCTTCAATAAGCTTTAAACTTAGCTTATCATGATTTACTATTCCATCTAAATGACGTTTGCTTTCCTAACACGGACGTCGAGCGTTGTCATGTATTATCTTTGCCTTTGAATACAGCCGTCTCTCCTCGCTCTTCACGGATAGCAGGCTACTTGTATCTAAGCAATTTGGAAGAAAATAGTTGTATTCAATAAGCGTCTTGTTTACTTTGTTGTTCAATTCAATGTCCACATTAGTTATCTACTGCGATTTCTTACAACTAGTTGGATTTTATTAAAACAATTATTCCTCTCGCTTTCATGGCCTCTGAGTCAATAGCCCACACGGCTTTCGACCTCATGGGCTATTGACTCAGAGCCCATTCAGGCTCGAAGAATAATATTGTTTATTAGTATATACACACTCAGTGATCTTGGTAATTCAAGCAATCTGATGGTCAGCTATCTCGGACTATGATGTTATATTCACCGCGCTAGGCGGTGATTATAAAGTAGAACAAAATCGCTGTCGGGAACTGGGTGTTTTGCCAAAGTTTCATAGTAAAGCCTTTTTGAAAATACACGAATATCCAAGTGCTGATGACTTTGAAGGCAAGAAAAGACTTCATGGTGTTTAAACAGCGTGATTTATTGTGAAGTGGTTTACTGTAGCTGACTTTTTGTACGCTCATGTTTACCACTACAGAGGAAAACGAGGTCGCTTTGTCACTGTTTTGTGATTTCGGGATTCAGGTTCTCGCAAGACCAATTTTGCCTATAAATAGAAGTTAATTTATGGAGAAAAGAGGAAGGCAAATATTTTCGAAAATTGTATGTGCCAGCAAGTTAACAAGGCAAAGACCTTTGGAGATAAACAACGCTCATCTTGATCATAGCCGCTGTTGACAGCATTTGCAAGAAGCAACAAAGAAAACTTTCTCATTGACGGTGAGTTGACAGAAACAAATAAAGCTCTACTTTTCTTCTCAGAATTGGGTGGTAATTTAAATTTTTGGCGTTTTCTTTTAAACCGTTGATGCTAAAGCTTACAAAACTCGATACAAAAAGATTAAAACTATCATTTGCCATGTTTGAAGATACTGCAAAGATCTAACTTTTGTGCATCCACTAATTACAGCTTCGTGTTCACGCATGAACTCACCCTTCAATCAAACTAATCGTTTTTTAATGGTTTCCTTTCTGATTCTGTTGAGATCACTTCGTGTGAATATACTAAAACAAGTATTCACCTTTGGTGAATAATTGTTAATTATTATTTGGACCAAATGAATAAGTGATAGGTTGTATTAATAAATCAAACTGTGACACTTCATGTTAACTGATCCAAAAACTTTTTCACCTGTGAGTCCTGTTTACCTTAAGCATAAAAATCCCCAAAGATACAAAATAAATGCATCCCATAGGACACAAAGATTGGTCAAGCAATATGAAGATGTTTTTCTAGAATATCCTGTTTGCGTAATTTCTGTGGTTGTTGTTAACGACGCATAATAAATTTCTTTTAGTCTTTGTTGTACTTTAAAATAGAAGGAGTATATTTTTATTTCAGTAAACTGTAATACAGAGGTTTGGAGTCTGTCTTTAGATTAACTCCCTGGTTACATAAAGGCCAAAGCATTTTCAATTTAGGGACGGTTCATTATTTATAGAGATGACCAGGTAGGGAAAAAAATAAAAGCCTTCCTCCTTCTTTCTAAATCCCACCAAAAAAGCACAATGCTTTCTTTGCCCGTTCAGTATTTGGGGTCAAATTTTCCAAAGCCTACATTCAATTTGACACTGATTTGAAGTGAGTAACTTGTGAAAATCATGGAATGTTTATTTACAACTGGAGCAACTAGTGTATGGTCAGATATTTGGAACAAATACCATGACTTGGAAGAACCTTTGGAGTTTTCCAACCTGGCTAAATAGAACTTCTTGTGATGTAAAAGTTTCGCTGAAAGTGTTCAACATTTTTTTTAAGGAATAAGTTTCTACAAACCTGTGTTTAAAATGTGTTGAGAACACATTCGCGAGACGATTCGAGAGGTCATTCAATACTATGTTCCAGGTCTCTGTTGAATCAGCAAGACATGGAAAGACTGGTAACTAATGCAAAAATTAAACAAATTTCTATATTATACTACATTGATTTATTAGATTCTGTTATAGTGACCTGTATGAAATTTTAAGAACATCAACTGTTTGCAAACTCAATCAAAACCATAAAATTCCTCTTCCTCTGAATTGCTTTGAAAGACAAACCATATCTTATCACTTTCATTGATGCTATAACATTCCCATTTGCCAGAAGTTGTGTCTTACTCTGGGTCAGGCCCACTTGACAATTCTGTAAGGACAATATCCTCCTCACTTTTTTCCTCCCCTGAGTTGTCAATGTCTTTGCTGTTGTCTTTTGTCCCATTTTCCTTTGCTTCCTCGTCAGTAGACTCATTTATGTTCCTGTTGATCATCCTCACCATAAAGCACACACAACAAGATTCGCCTTATCTTTTCAGCTTTGGTGCTGTTGCTTATGAGTTTGTAATGTTTAAGATATTTATTGAGCTCAGACACAAGCAACTTTTGTAAATCTCCAGACTCCACGAGATGGTGCTAGGCATATTCTTCAAATGTTTTGGACATCAATTTATGCTTTTGTTCTGTGCGCCCCCTTGTTCTCTTAAAAATGCTGCTTTGTTGTTTGAGATCTTCTATATTGAGCAATATACATGTTTGTCTTGATCAAGTGCGTCTCTATGGCGGAATTATCTGAAAACTGCTGTATCTCCTCTTCCGTTGATAACATGCCTGCATTAAACATTTTCTTTATTTTTACACATGGTTGAAAATCATCTGGCACTCGAGGTTGCCCTTTTCTGTGGTAGTTGGTGTCTCATTGACCGATTTAAAATGGGTGGGATTTTCAGGATGTGGCACAGGCGGGGAAATACGTTTCATGGGCACCCGTTTCTTTAGCCTGCTTCTTCCTCTTCTTTTTTTTCTTTGCTTTTGGTGATGCATTTCACTAAATTAAATAACCCTCCCTCTCAAATAATCCTTACTCTCTGTTAAACATGCTTTAAACAAAATAAGCCCCCAGGGAGTTTAAAGGGGATTTACAGTAATACAGGTTCCACTATTTTTTGTATTAAAGCTGCATGATGAGCCTTAGTTACCATTTATAAATGCGTGTTATTTTACAAACCACAGGGAAGTCTCTGATCCAAATACACAGTAAACAAATGATTAAATTAACCCTGTTGATGGATTCTCCATGTTGAAGGGGTCATGTAAAGTTGTAGTCAGTTTATGACAGGTCTAAAACTACCTTTTCATAGGCAGGTATCTAATTTTCCACATCTTCCTAACAAAAATAATATCATTGTGCATTTACCTGAGAATGTTTCTTTTTCCTGCCAAAGGGTACCGTAACTATAACACGTTATAAGAAGAACAAACTCAATGTCCTTTGAGTGCCTGCAGTGCAGCAAGTGCTTTAGTCTAGCAGAAAACCTAAGGACTCATGAAAGAGTTCACACTGGGGAAAAGCCTTATGAATGTCAACAGTGTGGCAAGTGTTTTCGTGCAGCAGGACACCTAAAGGGACATCAAAGGGCTCACACTGGGGAAAAGCCTTATGAATGTAAACAATGTGGCCAGTGTTTTGGCCGAACAGGAGACCTAAGGATTCATGAAAGAGTTCACACTGGGGAAAAGCCTTACGAATGTAAACAGTGTGGGAAGTGTTTTGGCCGAGCAGGACACCTAAGGAGTCATGAAAGAGTTCACACTGGGGAAAAGCCTTATGAATGTAAACAATGTGGCAAGTGTTTTAGCCGACCAGGAGAACTAAGGATTCATGAAAGAGTTCACACTGGGGAAAAGCCTTATGAATGTAAACAGTGCGGCAAGTGTTTTCGTGTAGCAGGACACCTAAAGGGACATCAAAGGGTTCACAATGGGGAAAAGCCTTATGAATGTAAACAATGTGGCAAGTGTTTTAGCCAAGCAGGAGACCTAAGGATTCATGAAAGAGTTCACACTGGGGAAAAGCCTTATGAATGTAAACAATGTGGCAAGTGTTTTAGCCAAGCAGGAAACCTAAGGATTCATGAAAGAGTTCACACTGGGAAAAAGCCTTATGCATGTAAACAATGCGGCAAGTGTTTTAGCCAAGCAGGAAACCTAAGGACTCATGAAAGAGTTCACACTGGGGAAAAGCCTTACGAATGTAAACAATGTGGCAAGTGTTTTGGCCAAGAAGGAGACCTAAGGAGTCACGAAAGAGTTCACACTGGGGAAAAGCCTTATGAATGTAAACAATGTGGCAAGTGTTTCGGCCAAGCAGGACACCTATGTAGTCATGAAAGAGTTCACACTGGGGAAAAGCCTTATGAATGTAAACAATGTGGCAATTGTTTTGGCCAAGCAGGACACCTATGTAGTCACGAAAGAGTTCACACTGGGGAAAGGCCTTATGAATGTAAACAGTGTGGCAAGCGTTTTAGCGGAGCAGGAGACCTAAGGAGTCATGAAAGAGTTCACACTGGGGAAAAGCCTTATGAATGTAAACAGTGTGGCAAGTGTTTTAGCGGAGCAGGAGACCTAAGGATTCGTGAAAGAGTTCACACTGGGAAAAAACCTTATGAATGTAAACAGTGTAGCAAGCGTTTCAATGAAACAGGAAGGCTGAGGAAGCAGGTTGAGTCACGTAAATGTTCCCGGAAAAACAAAAGTCTTTCTAAACATTTGGAATCGTGCAAGCTGAAGAGAGCGGGAGGAAAAAATGTTAATGCTAGAGCCGAAGGATTTACAAACAACCTTCAAACACAGAGGGAGACTGGAAACACTAATCTAGCAGATGCACAAGTGGTCATTTTTGAGGATTACAGCTGCTGGATTTGTCAAGAGGAGATGAGTAGTGAGGCTCTTCTTCTTCAACATTATGAAAATCATATGACCTATGTTTGTGAAGATGACTCTTAAGTTAATCAAAGTGAAAACTATGGGGAATTCTGTAGGCTGTAGGAGGAGGGGGTGTGTCAAATCAACTTGCACCTCCCCACAGGCACCGAAGGGTTGTTGACCAATGATTTCAAACAAAGTGAATTAGTGATATTTTGCCTACAATGTAATTGCAAAATCGTTCTGAATTTTTTGCGACGGTTGAGCAGTTCTTAACATAGTTTGCCAGAAAATGGGCCGAAGAAAGCAAGAAGATAGGCCACTGCCAGATTTTTTCAATCCATGAATAACTTTGTTCTAAAACTGCTTTGAAAAGAAACTGAAAGTGCCATCAGTGAAGATTTTCGGGCTGCAGAATTATATAAGAATTTTTTTTTTTCATTTAAAAATCTTAAGGTAAATTTACAAGTTAGAGATTACTGCGTATTTGGACACGGACGCCCTAGGGGGAGTGGCCCATCTCATCTGTTTAGTGTCACGTAACTAGAGAAATATAACTTATAGGTACGATCCCTGGGGTGGGGGGTACTCTTAGGAATTCTTGTTGTGGCGCCCAGTTCCCTAAATCCTGACCCTATTTCAGACCAAAAATGTCATTTTGACACCCGATTTTAGACCAGACCTTTAAATTCCATACCCGTTTTCAGACCTTGCCTTTAGGCAGAAATTGTGTCATGGTTACTTAGATGAGAGCATAAACAT